GGTGAAACATAAAGTTACCATGGACCCAACAATTCCATCCCTAGGTATATTTCCAAGAGAACTGAAAACAGCCTCACAAAAATTTATAGGCTTGGGCTTCCTTGGTGGCGCAGTGGTTGAGAGCCCGCCTGCCGATGCAGGGGACATGGGTTCGTGCCCCTGTCCGGGAAGACCCCACATGCCGTGGAGCGGCTGGGCCCGTGAGCCATGGCCGCTGAGCCTGCGCGTCTGGAGCCTGTGCTCCACAAAGGGAGAGGCCGCGTCAGTGAGAGGCCTGCGTACCGCAAAAAAAAAAAAAAAAAAAAAAAAATTTATAGGCTAGAACAAATAATTCTAAAATTTGTATGAACTACAAAAGATCCTGAATAGCCCAAAAAAACACCAAAAAACAAAAAACAAAAAACCTTGAGAAAGAAAAACAAAGCTGGAAACTAGAGGCAGCACACCCTGACTCCAAATTGTATCCCAGAGCTAGGGTGATTAACAGTGTGGTATTGGTATATAAACAGACACCTAGATCAGTGGGACAGAATTAAGAGCCCAGAAGTAAACCTTCTCAGACATGGTCAATTAACCTACAACAGAGGAGCCAAGAATATACGATGGGGAAATGACGGTCTCTTCCAAAAATGGTGTTGGGGGCAATCCCTGGCGGTCCAGTGGTTAGGGCTCCAAGCTTCCACTGCAAGTGGCATGGGTTCAGTTAGTGGTCGGGGAACTAAGATCCCACATACCACATGGCACAGCCAAGAAAAAAAAAAAAAACACGGTGGGGAAAACTGGACAGCTACATGCAAAAGAATGAAACTGGACTACTTTCTTACGTCACACACAAAAAGACTTGAACTTAAGAGCTGAAATCACGTTTCAGCTAAGCCACACCATGTCCATATCAAGCAACGTGGGTATTGAATCTTACATTTAAAAAAACAGAAACTTTTTTTTTTTTTAATTTAACCATTTCTTGGGCAGCAGCTTAAATCTCCACTCATTTCTTTTCGTTCCAGTTGGGCTGCTGGAATTTGCCTCCCACACGAGTGATTCAGTGGTCAACTTGGACGTGGTTTATCCACAGACTCTGGGGCTCCCCTTCCCTGACTCTGTCCTCGCTTTTCAGTGGCTTTAGGTTTTCTGTGCTCTGTTCTCTAATTCTTCAGTCCAGAAAGACTGTGCGTTTTCTATCAGAGCTTCAGCCTCCCTGTTTGGGCTCCTGCTAGCATGGCCTGTCCTCAGTCTATAAGCCATAAAAAACAGGTCTCTTCCTCGGGCCAGGTCCCTTTGTCCAAGCATCTGCTTCCTCACAATTGGGCTCATTCTCCAATGCCTTCAGGTATTTGTGTTTGTATTCTGACAAGAGTTCATAGTCGTTATCTGAGAGAGGATTATAGGACCCATGGATAGTGGGAAATGCCCTTTGAGGCAAATACCTGACCATATCACTTTTTTTTTTTTTTTTTTTTTTTTGCGGTACGCAGGCCTCTCACTGTTGTGGCCTCTCCCGTTGCGGAGCACAGGCTCCGGATGCGCAGGCTCAGCGGCCATGGCTCACGGGCCCAGCCGCTCCGCGGCATGTGGGATCTTCCCGGACCGGGGCACGAACCCGTGTCCCCTGCATCGGCAGGCGGACTCTCAACCACTGCGCCACCAGGGAAGCCCCATATCACTTATTTTTAAACTGGCCAGCTCTTGCCCATCCTTCTAATCTTAGGTCAAGCATAGGAAACATTTCCGGATCCCCTCCACTGCAACCGCCTGGGCAGGGTTAGGGTGAGAGGTGTCTTGGAGTGTTTTCATGTTACCTGGACTTTCCTCTATCTCTGCAATTTCATACTTCAGTCATCCCTCAGTATCCTCAAGGGAGTGGTTCCAGGATGCTCTGTAGATACCCAAACCTGCAGATACTTGAGTCCCTTATATAAAGTGGTATATAACCTACCCACATCCTCCTATATACCTTAAATCATCTCTAGATTACTTATAATACCTGATACAATGTAAATGCTGTGTAAATAGTTGTAAGTTCAATGTAAAAGCTATGTAAGTTGTGGCCAGTGCACGGTTTGCTTTGGGGAGATTTCTGGCATTTTTTTTCAAATATTTTCCATCCGAGGTTGCTTGAATCCTTGGACGTAGTACCTATGGATACGCAGCAATGGCTGTGCTGAAATTACCTGCTAGTGTTCCTATTTATCCCACTACACTGTGGGATTCTTAAAGTAGGATATCGTCAATCATTTCAATGCCCAGCAACTTTCAGATCAATTGCTAATGTTTTTCTTTTTTCTTGTTTTGCTGCGCTGCTCTGCAGCATGCGGGATCTTAGTTCCCCAACAAGTGCTTGAACCCAAGTCCACTGCAGTGGAAGCGTGGAGTCCCTGTTTCTCAAGCCCTTAATAAACAACAGGCACGTACTAAGAGCTTGGCATGGATTACTATTTATTCTGTGCTGTAACTCTTTAATGTAAGCACTGAGTTGGTGTCACCCCAACTTTAACAGATAAGCAATCTGCCTCATGTTACACAGGCAGAAAGTGGTGGAGCCAGAACTGAAGGTTAAGAGTCTGACTTGTTTTCTGGGTGGATGGATGAATGGAACTTCTGGACCTGTTTTCTAGATGCTGTGGAACTTGAGCAAGTCCCCTTTCCCCGCCTTAGAACATTTTGTCATTTCAAGTTTTAGTGATTTTTTAAGTATGAAATACTATGATTAATTCTTATTATAAAATAATTCAAATGCCATAGATGAAGTTCTCCCTCACCAGACATTAACTATGATCGATTTGTTTGTTTCTCCCAGCCCTTTAATAGATACTCACATACAGTATTCTTTTTCGGTAAATGTCACCATACTATCCGTATTTTTCTGCAACTTGTTTTATTCATGAATGTCTTATAGACTTTCTATATTAGTACTTAGAAACCTAGGTTATTCTTTTTACAGCTGCATAGCATTCCCTAGAATGCCTAGTTAATAGTTTACTCAATCATTTACCTATTAATGGTCATTCAGGGTGTTTTCAGCTTTTTTCCCATTAGAAAAAAAACGCCGTGGTAAACAGTTTCATCCATGACTCTTCTCGGAACTGCTTCTCAAGGATATATCGTGTTTTAATCTTATTTATGTATGAGGCTGATTACAGGGCATTTCAAATCATTATTTACAATCCAAGTAGAGAGCATAGAAATTCTCCCAAGGTTGGATGACCATACTGATAAAAAATGTGATCAATAGATATTAGGGGCCTGAATTCTAAGGGCACATTCTTTTTTTTTTCTTAATATTTATTTATTTGGTTTCGCTGGGTCTTAGTTGCAGCAGGCGCGCTCCCTAGCTGCACATGTGAACTCTTGGTTGCGGCATACAAGTGGGATCTAGTTCCCTGACCAAGGATGGAACCTGGGTCCCCTGCATTGGGAGTGCGAGTCTTATCCACTGCGCCACCAGGGAAATCCCTAAGAGCACATTCTTGAAACCGAATCATATTTACAAGAACAGTAAAACTAAAATACTCATGACATTGAATATTAATAGAGGTGAATCACATATAATCTGTAATTCCTAACTATTTCTGAGTTTACTTTTTATTAAACGGGATACATCTTTCTTTAACATATCCATAACGTGCCTTACTTCACCTGTGTTTTATTCTGAGAATGATCTTATTAGATTCTCCTATAAAAGTTTGTTTGGGTTAATTAATTAGCTAATTAAACATTTATTTTTGAGAACCTGCATATAACTAGTACTACTCTGGGTACTGGGCAATACTGACGTTAATAAAACACAAAAATCATTACCATCATGGAGTTTTCATGCTACGTTGGGAACAGTCAATTAAAAAACAGGGCAGGGAAGTCTGGTGGTCCAGTGGTTAAGACTCCTCCCTCCCTATGCATGGGGCCCGTGTTCCATCCCTCGACAGGGGACTGGAGCCCACATGCATGCCACAACTGAGTCTGCATGCCAGCTAAAGATCACGCATAGGGTAACAAAGATCCCACGTGCCGCAACTAAGACCCGGTGTAGCCAAATAAATAAACAAATATTAAAAGAACAAGTAAATAAATTATTTGTGTAAGGAGATGAAGGATTTAGGGGGCTCGTGAGGTCCAGTAGGGTGGAGGTGAAGGCCTCGCTGGGCAGGCGGCGTCTGATAAAGCCACGGGCTGGGGGCGGGCCGGCTCCAGGCACCAAGGCCCTATGCCAGCGTGCCAGCCAGTGTCCCGACCACAGAAGCTTCACCCAACATCCCTCCCGCCGGGCCCTGAGCTCTAACTGCCGCGACATCTTTATTTCTCCGTCTTTTAGCTGCGGAGGTGGGCCGGCGCGGGGCGCAGCGAGCAGCCCCCGAGAAGCTGGCACCCGTCTTCACGGACCTCCCGCACCTGCGGGGTCCGCCGGCAGGTGCATAGCCCGCCCGGAGGACGCAGGACTCGAGCTCCCGGAGCCGTGAATGTGCGGCTCGCGAGCTGGACGGCGACGCCTCGGCGAAACCTGATCGAGCGCGCGAGTCCGTGGTTCCCTGCTTTCCATCGGGAAGTCCAGAGTCCACATGCGGTCGGCCTGACCTGATTCACCATACTGCGACCCGGTGGGGCCCAGCGACCGCCGCCCCACAACCCCGCCAGCTCCGCCCCTGCGGCAGCGCCCGCGGGCGCAAACAGGTCCAGTCCCGCCTCGCCTCCTCGGAGGGCGGGACGTCACGCGGTCGCCGCTGACCAATGGCGGGGTTAAGGGGCGGGGCCTCACCAGCTCCACCCATCGCCTGCCCAAGCCCATGGGGGAGGGGGCGGCGGGCTGGCGCATGCGCGGTACTCCCCGGCGGCGATGACGTAGCCCTGTTGCGGCCTCGGCTACCCGCGAGCGCAGCGCGGGCGGCGCCCGCCACCCCGGTCGCGTGGCTCCGCTTTGTCCCGGGCCTGTCCCTTGGCCGTGCCGACCGCAGCCCCGCGTCGCGCTGGCGTCGTCCTCGTCTCCGCCGGCGCCCCGGCGCGAGCCGGACGGCGAGGCCATGGACGCGGAGCTGGTGGTGACGCCTCCGGGCTGTGCGCACCTGGGCAGCTTCAAGGTGGACAACTGGAAGCAGAACCTGCGCGCCATTTACCAGTGCTTCGTGTGGAGCGGCTCGGCGGAGGCCCGCAAGCGCAAGGTGCACCCCTTGTAGCGCGGCTCTGCGTTGGGGGGGGGGGCGGGGTGGGCGCGGCCGTGCGTGCGGGGGGCGGTCTCTCCCGGGGCTGCCGGGTAGGAGGGGGAAGGTCCCCGACGCTGCAGCGCGGGGCGTGTCTTAGGGACCCTCCGGGCGGGGTGGGGTCGGGGATGGAGGCGCTGAGAGGGAGGGGAAGCAGCTGCTAAGTCTTGTGCCGCCCACGCTGTGCGAAGCCTCCGCTGCCCTGGCTGGTGCCTGGGGGTTGCTGGGTCGGAGGCGCGGGGTCACCGGGATGCGGGTACAGCCGCCGAGCGCCCAGAGTTCGCAGGGACGCCCGCCCCGCCCTCTGAGTGCGGGGCGCCCCCGGGCCCAGGTTCCGCAGGGACGCGCGCCACCCATTTCAGCGCGGGGCATCCCCGGGCCCAGGGTCTGCAGGGACGTTCCGGGACGCGCCAGCTCCCCCCAGGTGTGCACGGGCGCAGGTGCAGTGCGCCGTGAGTTCTAGAAACCAGCCGGCTCTGCCGCTTAGAGTCGCGTGTTTCCCGGCACGACGGGGATTGGGGGGGGGGGGGTCCCCTGTGGCTGCGCAGGAGCGGGTTTAAAGGAAGGACTGTCTAAAGGGCAGGTGGGATGGGGCGCCTCCCTGAGGTACTGAGGGAACGGTACACAGTGTCCTGTTTTTCGGGCGTAGGTACCATCTAAGCGATTAGGCTTATTATTGACTTGGAAATCAGAAAATGACATTATTTCTGTATCTTACCTGAAGAAACTGTTTTTGCCGTGTAACGCGATTTTACAGTTCGCAGCCTGAAGGCAGGCGCTGTGTTAGGCAGTGTCCACCTTGAGTAGCATTTTTTATGGGAAAACTAACATCTGCTGAGCATGTAGAGAATGTTAAGCACCAGTTTTCTTTATTTTTATCAGTATTGGTGTTGGGAAGCACTGCCTGTTAGGATGAACTTAAATCGGAGATGAAACAGATTTCTACGAGGATGGGAGTTTCTTGCTGGTGGAATTTTGTGCCCTTAAAATGAAATCGCCTGGTTGATACTGTTTTTCAGGTGATAATCGTGTTACTGCTCCATATTGTTTGTTGGTCAATATGCATGTGACCCGTCTCCACATTGGGTTGAGGCGGGGGGCCCTGCCATTTTTACTCTTTTCC